CTAAGGTCCTATATATATATATATAACATGAGTTATTGAATATAATAATTTTAGATAAATTTATTTTTGAAATAAAATATGTATATATATATTGAATGAAAAGGTTATATATGTTTTTTTTATTGGTAGACTTAAAATATTGAGTTTTAGAGTAACTTTATCTTTGAAATGTTCCTGAAATTGTGAAACTTATTTTTCAAAAAAAGAAATAATAATAATAATATTTTACTATTAATAGAAGGATATCATATCGCAAACATGCACTGCACACACTAAATAATCATAAATACTCCAATTCGTACCCTTTTTTTTAATGATGTAAAAATCTAACTGTATACCCTAGCAATCACATATACCCGTTATATTAATACTAGTCCATTCTAGGACTAATATGTCCCGTACACTTGAAAACTAATATAATCAACATATATATTTTTTATGAACTTAATTTATTTTCTCGACCTAGAATTTTTAATGACAAATTTGGAATCTCAAATAAAGCAGAAGTTGATAAATACGATTTACCATGAAAAAAGAAAAAATTCTTTTTATATGCTAACGCTAACAATAGAAAAGAAATTAACATGTATGGAATGATTTAAAAAAAAAAATTATGAGTAGGAATAAATTTAATACTAAAGAGTTATATATAACAACTCGTGTATCCTGCTTAGCCAATCGAATTAAACTCTCTTATTTTATAGAATGAAATTAAATCTACCAACTAATATTCATCGAATAGAATTATGATTATATAATAGATTAATAGAGAAAAAATTACACTAACTTCTAACTAGTTTTTATCAAATTCCTTCGAAAACTTTTTTTTTCTTTATCTCTATATTAACTATTTAAATTGTTTAAAAAAATATGACATTGACAATTTTTATATATTATATTAATCTTTTAAAAATATTTCATTTTGTACTCATTAAAAGAAGTTTGTAAACATTAAAAAGACATAATAATGTGCCATCTCAATAAACCCTAGATATTAATATTTTGCTCACGCTGATCTCTATGCACATGCTAGTGGGGCAATGATGATCTAGTTCATAAAAAAATTTTAATTGAGTTAACTAAGTAGATTTTATAATTATTCTAAGATTTTCATGAATAAAACAATTTAATCCAGTTCAATCTTCATTTCATAGTTTAGTAATTAGCAACGAAAAACATAAATCTAACTACTTAGGGTTAACATATAAATTGTACTTATAAATACATGTAATAATATATACGTGTAAAAATTGTCAACAACTAAAATAATATAATAAATTCCTCAGTGGAACTACAACTGTAACTACACACGCACACTCACACACATATATAATAATCCAGTACTAGAAGTATACACATAGGTTGTCGATCAAATAATACTACAAAATAAATGCTACACCAAGGATAACTCAAGACAACACTACCATCCACCAACATGACTCTCAAAAAACTCCTTCTCTAACCTATTCCTGCCTTCTCTCATATCAAGTATGATCATCATAGTCTAATAACAAGAAAGTGTGCAAGGGTAAGCTTTCATGAAAACAACATATCAAGTATAGGAGAAAACTACAACTATACAATTTTTACAACACAACACCACCACCACCACTTAGTATATGAATACTATCATTTATCAACACAATCAACTTAAGAGTCTACAACCATTATTTCACAACACATTAACTTCACTAATATCATAACATGTTCAACTTTCAACACAACTAGGCAATCCAACAACATGTCAACATAGCTTGTGAACAACACCACGCATCACATGTACAACACAACAACTATATGTATCATCAGACATTCAACTAAGAGATCTCTTACAACACAGGTGAACATTATAAGTGGTTTGATCCTATTGAACCAATTAACAACATGATCTTTTTAATTTAGCTAGATTAACAACTAATTTGGTTAGCATTCTTGTTAAGGTACAACAATTTGGACGTGAGTCTACCACATGCTTAGTTTGCATAACTAAGTCTCCTATGAGATTAGTTTTTTGTCTACCCTTCAAATACTATGCCTCTTCCAAAACGTAGTTAGAGATTTTGTCATTGATCTTATATCTTACTCGATTTAGTCACTTTGTACACATATGGATCAAACTTGCTCCATACAAATTTATATTGGTCACTTCATGATCAATATAGCTTGACCTAGCCCCTTTGTTATAATCACTTATAGATAATATGACTCAACCTAACCCTCATATCACATCAACTAAGGTCCTAGAGGAGACTCTACACTTCACTTCAAGATTCAACTTCTCAAGAAGAGTTTTTAACAACTCGACTCATAAAGCACCACAACACTATATCCTTATAATGGGGTATTCAACTTTTCAACACAACCTCTCCTTTAGTCCTATGTCAATTAACACAACTCAACGTCATGTCTTAAACATTCTTAACATAGTTACTCAACGCTACATTGTATACAACTCTCTCTACATTTCAACTTACAACTTTAAACAACTTAAGAAACCATATATATCATTCTAACTCTATATACAAGGAATTAAAATCATATAGCAACATACAACATGTGAGGAATCTAACTATCACACACATACTTATTACTAAGTCAATAAAATAAGAAGTCTTTCATTGGGAATTTCACGCTTTGTATTATTCTTCTTGTGCTTAGTATCATTGAGGTAGAAAGTTTCTAGCTCACCCACTCTCAGCGTCAAACTACTCGTGTCTAATATGAATGAGGTCGAGAGCCCATGTGTTAATCACGCCTGGTGTAGCAAAACTTATGTCCAATCCCATTTCAAGCAAAGAGCCTTAGCTTGACTCACACTTAGCATCAGAACACTGGCTCCCAACGTTGTCTAAGTTAAGAGTTTTTGTCTTGATCAAGCCTAACGCCACTCAATTGGAGTATGATGTCACCAAGTCAGAAAGCTCCAAAGGGTATTCATGCTCAATGTCATTCAATCCACATTTGGCGTGACCAGGTGAGAGAACTCTCCTCTAACTCATGTTCAACGCTATCAATCTCGTGCCTAGCAATGAGGAAGAGAGTCTTTGGCCAGCATTACGCTTGGCACCTTGAAGTTGTGTTTGGCACTATAATGAATTTTACACTTGACATATTTGTGAATTTGGCTTATCCAACCTGAAAAATAATCTAAAGCGACACATAACACCAAAAAAATGCAACTATATAACATAATCAACTCATAAGCAACATAAATTCCAATGTACAACTTGTCAATATCTCAAATCATTCACTTATTCGCAACTTCTCCAAAAATCATCTAAAAACTCAAAGTAAGCATATTTCAATCTCAAAATCAATTGACACAACCACGATATTTCATTATTCAAGCAATGAATTCAATAGGTAATTCAACAAAGAAAAATCCAAGAATTTCCCTTACATCTAGATCAACTAAAATAAAGGAAGAAGCAGAAAGTTGAGACCCTTCAAAGAACTCTGCACTAATCCTCCAAGGTCTTTGATTTTTGGCTATAGAGCTTTTAATCACCTATACAACTACTTAAATACGATCAGAGAAGACTCTCAACACTCTCAAGAAGGCTAAGAAGAAGAAAGACAAATTTCAGTTTTCAGGGCTCATCTCTCTAACTTTTTTCTAAATTTTCTAAAAAAAATAAATTTATGAGATTCACTTTTTTAAAAAGACCTTATATATCCTTTTTTATTGGTCAATTTTTCAAAATAACTCTTCTAACAACATAATTTATTAAGATTCATAAATCTTTAAAATTCTATGACAATTAATCAACTAAGCACAACAATATATATATATATATATATATTAATAAAATCAACAATAATTCAAAAAACTACGAAGTTTGAAGTCCATTTATAATTGATTGGTGGCAGGTTGAGCTAACAAAGACGGGATGCAAGTAAGTTTGGAAA